CAGGTGTGGTGGCAAACACCTGTGGTCCCAGCTATTCTGGAGGCTGAGGTGGGAGGATTGCTTGAGCCTTCGAGGTTGAGGCTGTGATGATCCATGATTGCACCACTGCACTCCAGCCTGGGCAACAAAATGAGACCCTGTCTCAAAGGAAAAGCTTCATTTTTGTTTTAGCACTTTGCACTACACACTTTATGGTTATTTTCCCATTTAATCTTTACAGCCACTTACGGGGTAGGTATTTTTATCCCTGTTGTACAGAAGTGGAAATTAAGGCTCAGTAACTCACTCATATTCACACAACCAATAAGTAACAGAACTGGAGTTGGAACCTAAGTGTGTTAGAGTGTAATGCCCAAGCTCTTAACATATTTCAGCCAAATCCTCTATCGAAGCCTTCTCCCTCATCTCCATGTCCACTGCATACAAAGAAAGATGAAAATCCAACAGCTGGAACATCTATGATAATTGACCAAAAGCTATGCATTTCATTAGTCAAAACCTCTAAGACTGAGTCTCATTGGAGGGTGATTTTATTTCCCAAGGGACATTTGGCAGGATTTGTAGACAATTCTGGTTGTCACAACTGGAGGGGTACTATTGGCATCTAGTGGGCACAGGCCAAGGATACCACTTAAACATCCTGTAAAAAACCACAGCACGGCCCCTCCCCACCATGTCCTCCGCAACAAAGAACTATCTGGCCCAAATGATCAGTAGCATGACGGTTCAGAGTCAGTGCTGTGAGCTGTTTAATCTGTAAGCTCCCACATGATCCTGAGATTGGTCTTACGAGGAAGCGAGCACATGACACTGATGGAAACCGTCTCTGTCCCTTGTCGTCAGGGACTCACAGTCAGTAGCTTTGTTCTTTGTCTAGCCCTCGCCTCACCAGTTAATTATCAGGGAGATGTTATAGCCTAGACTAGTCTATTTGAGGTTTGATCTTCATGTTGAATTCTGGACTGGAGAATTTGTCTTCTTTCATCCCCCTTGTTCCTCCCAGAGATGCTTGGAGGTAGCTTCGCCGCAGCCTAGCAGCTTTATCTTCTTCCCCATTGACAGTATTTGAGTGACAACCATGCCCAGCACTGTTCTAGGTACTCAGGATACATCAGTGAACAAAGCTCCCTACCAGGGAGTTCTTAGTTGGTGAAGCTTTCTGAAGATGGTAGAGAAACTTGGGGAAGCTTGGGATGAGATTGTGTGTATGCCCTGCCTTGCGTGCCTTTTGTCCTCCCAGCACAGAATAATCAAAAAGCAAAGCTGCTGTCTTGAATATGTCTAATCAAATCCTATAATCAGTTTCAGATTATGATTATTTCTCTGTAAGTGGTGACCAGGAGGCAGATCAGCAGGAGTTCGACAAGTCCTCCACCATTCCAAGAAACAGCGACATCAGCCAGTCTTACCGACGGATGTTCCAAGCCAAGCGTCCAGCCTCAACTGCTGGCCTCCCCACCACCCTGGGACCTGCTATGGTCACTCCAGGGGTTGCAACTATCCGACGGACCCCTTCCACCAAGCCTTCTGTCCGCCGGGGGACCATCGGAGCTGGTCCCATCCCCATCAAGACACCTGTGATCCCTGTCAAGACCCCAACTGTCCCAGACCTCCCAGGAGTGTTGCCAGCCCCTCCAGATGGGCCAGAAGAGCAGGGGGAGCACAGCCCCGAGTCGCCATCTGTGGGTGAAGGCCCCCAAGGCGTCACCAGCATGCCCTCCTCAATGTGGAGTGGCCAAGCTTCCATCAACCCTCCACTTCCAGGCCCGAAGCCCAGTATCCCTGAGGAGCACAGACAGGCAATTCCAGAAAGTGAAGCAGAAGACCAGGAACGGGATCCCCCAAGTGCCACTGTCTCCCCAGGCCAGATTCCAGAGAGTGACCCCGCAGACCTGAGCCCAAGGGATACTCCACAAGGAGAAGACATGCTGAACGCCATCCGAAGGGGCGTGAAACTGAAGAAGACCACGACAAATGATCGCTCAGCCCCTCGCCTCTCTTAGGCTCACAAGAAATGCTGCCAGTGGGGAATGAACTGTTTAACTAATGAAACCTAATTTGTCTTGATCCATTCCAATCTATAATAAAACAAAAGATTTTGTAGGCAACTCAGAACATAGCTCTTTTGAAAGTACTCGACACCTTTAGATAAGAATTAAAACCAACATACGTAACTGACATAATCTTGATCTTTTAATTTGTAAATATTGACAATTTTCTTTCTGCACATTTTAATCTTAGTTTCCCTTTTGATTTTTCTGAAGGTGCCAAATTCCATTTAACTTTTTTACAAGTCTTTGTAAAATTTTAAATGCATAAGGGGGGGTTGGGGCAGGGGAACCACGAAGTAGTTCATTTTAGAAAAGGATTTACTATACTTCACTCTTCTTTTTTTTTCCCCCCACAAGCTTTTGTAGATGCATTGTAGTAGTCTAGCTTAGAAGCAAATGCAACTTATTTTAATGTACAAACTAAATGGGTAAGAGGTAAAAATCCTCATTTAAATATACAATGTTCTGGATGAAAAGAGCAGGAGTAACAATTGGTGAGCAATATTCAGAGTGAAGTAACTGGAAATGGTAGACTGTTGGGATTGGGGGGAGGGCCATGGGAGGGGCACACTGTCAACATAGCCGATCCTGTTACATTTAAGAGTAGCCTTGTAGGTTGAATTTCTTCTAGTAGCTTCATGGTAAATGCATTTGAATAAGCCATACTGGATTGCAGTGTTTGGTTCTGTAGGGTGTTTAAGGACTTCCTTTCTTCCACGATTCCTCTTGACTGCACACAGCACCCACCTCCAGTCCCATGCATGCTGCCACTGGGTAGTTGTAGAATCCCCTACTTGAGTTTCTCTTTGATTGTACTCACCTCCATGGAATCCAAATACATCCAAAAAAAGTAAGGCAGTTTAAAAAATGTGAAAACATTTAAAAATGATAGCAGGGAATTCTTAAGATTATAGTAAATGCCTTTTACTTAACTGTGCCCAGCAGGCTGGGTGCTTTAAAAAGCCCAAATATTTTGAAAAAAACTTTAAAACGGCTCTGACAAGGGTAGCCAGCTTGGAGTTTAGCAACTTGCCAATGTGTTTACCAATCTGGGGGCTTGTTTTCCTTCTTTTAAATAAATGGCAGTTAATTGGCTTCACAGTAAACATTGAAGAGAGGAGGATTTGTTTATTGTAATTGGGAATCTGACCACTATACTGTCCTTTTTTTGTATTCTGGGTAATGTTTTTTGGAAAGGATTTGTCTTTTACTTTTTTAAGTGGAAGTTAAATTTGTTATAATGCCCATCCCCTAATGCCAACAGATATTTGTAGATTTAAAGGGATCACGTTTGAAGACAATAGTGTTTAAGAAAGCAAGCAAGTTCCTTAGCAGTCAGGTCAGTTAAAAGGGCACATTTCTGACTGAACCTCTCAAGGAAGAGGAGCTTGGTGGGTCTCATACACCCTGCAGATTTCTGTTGGCTCTAATCCTCAATTACCTAATCTTACGCTTTAACACATAACGCACTGGATGTGAGAGTAATGTACCTGTATGGTCATTGTTCTATATATTAACATTGAACACTGTTGCGATTGCTCAAGGACATTTTATGTTATGGCTTTAAAGCAAAGGCATGATTATTAGAAACTAAGCTTTTTTCTTTGAAAAACAAGCTCCTTCTACAGAATATAAGCAACAGTAGTGCCTGTGGTTTAGCCCACCAATCTTGATGACTAAAAGTAGCTGATGCATTGTGCATATGATGCTTGAGATGGTTTTTGCAAAAGCAGAAATCGCTGCAAGGTAATCACAATAGATAAAAGTGGTATTTTAAACCTTTGAAATAAATGGATGTAACTGTACCTTGGTACAGCTTTTCACTTGTTTAGTTTTTAAACGTTAGTATAATCTGAATAAATAAAATGTTGCCAAATTCAATGTAGAAAGAATGTGACAACACACCTTGGGTAGTTCTGCTTGTGTTTTTGCATATTGTAAAAGCCGTGTCACAGCTAAAAATAAAGAAATCGTTTCTAACTGTAAATTATTGTGGTTTAGTTGCTAGTTTGTACTGAGAGTTGACCTCTCCCTGTGCAGTTTTTTGTTCTAAACTTGTATAAATAACAATCGTGTAATGTGTCTCCCTTCTACATTGTAACAGTTGCTTCAGCCTATGTTATAAATAAAGAACCACTAGTTAAAAAAGTCCTGGATTTCAAGTCTTGTTACAATTCAGTCTAAGGTCTTAGTCAAATGTTAGAAGAAGGACTGAGACTCAAATTGAGCTTACACAGAAAAGTGACAAAATGTTTTTGTGATGGTTATAAGACCACTAGTTTCTGGAAATTATTTGAAAACAGTCCTATCTAATGAGGTATCAAAAACTAAAAGCAGCTGTTTTAGGTTGACCAAACTGCTTTATCTTTAAAAAACAAAGCTTTTGAAACATTTAAGGAGTTCTGTTACACCCTTACCTTTGAGTCTGCAAACAATCCAAGCTACCTTAGCAGAAGCAAAGCTGGAAAACTGGTTCTAAAATAAGTGCCACAAGAAGTTTCATCCCAGATTGGACCCCCCAACCCCAACCATCAAACCTCTACCCCTGAGAGAACTCCACAAATTCTCTGCCTGTTTGTTGACTATGTACTACTTAGGGAGAGTTGTTCTTCTAATAACTAAAATTCCATTAGTGAAATCTTTAGAAAACCAAAAAGGTTACTTTTAAGTCCTAAGTATTTCTGTTCTTGGCTTTGTTTATTCCTTCTAATCCCCATAGCTAATTAGGCCGTTGACTAAGAGGAGTTTTTTCACCTCAATCCTGAATAAATGTTGTGTCTGGTTCTGCCTCAGTTTTTCCTTACTGGTAACATGTGCTGTCATCAGTGATTTATTGCAGAGGGTAACACAGCTGACTGACTACGTCCCGTCATGCACAACTAATAAAACAATGAGTGGTACAGTCACTTGGCATCATGGTAATTCTTAAAAGAACATCAGTCATACCAGACCATTTCACTGATTTTTTTATTAGGGCAAGTGTATGTTCTGTAACGTATTTCACTTGCAAGCATGAAAGATTTTTTATTAGGGCAAGTGTATGTTCTGTAATGTATTTCTCTCTACACCGGCCGCTCCCGGGGTCTGGTCACAATATGCCACCACAGTGGGGGCAAATCACCTTCCTTTCGAGCAGGAGGCAAAGCTTCAGTCAGAGGACCACCAGGTGGCGTTTCCTCCTCCAGCTGCTTAATCTAGAAGGAGGCAAGGAAGGAATAATTACCGAAGGAATCTAATTGACTATAAAAATCTGCTGCAGTGAAGGGTCAGCTTTATTTCTATGGTGTGTAACTGACATTACACACTATCTGATCTCAACAATGAAAAGTGTTTTTTACATAAACCTGCTTTATTTTCATACCCACACTTTGAGAAAAGTCTCCTTGTTTTCCCATTCTTTTAAATAGCAAAGCCTACCCTTCCTATTCTTTCCCCCACCTTTTCATCACCTCCTTATATAGCTGGACCTCCTCTTATTCTGTAGACAAAAACATGACAACTACCATTCCAGTGCTTCTTGTCACAGTCCTCTACCCACTGACGAGAAAAACATTTATTTTTGTGTCTCAGTTTAGTGTTCTCCAAAAGTACCACGCATTAAGAAACCTCAGTTCATAATATGTTGGGGATGTTAATTGTAAGCCCTCTTCCTAGCAACCAAGGACAAAAAACTCGAAATCACATGTAAAAATATGCCCAGTTCTGCCCATTATTGACCTACTACCTCTGGTTCTAGTTATAGCCAAGATAAATGAGGCTAACCCATTCTGGAGTGTGGCTGCCCTGGGCCTCCAGACACGTGCTGCTTCATGATGTTGAAGTGATGGAATATGTAAAGGAGGAATTGTTTTAGAAGTTATCCCAGTGATCAACTGCAGAATGAACCTGCAGCGGCTCACCATGAATATGCTTCAAGCTTCTAAACGCTGAGACATTTCTGACAAAACGTTGCCCTCTTTGGCCACAGTGCCCTTCCCCCTGCTCCCCCTCAGACAAACACTGTCAAAGGTCAAAGGCCAATATCCTGGGTGTCATCACCAGAACCAGCACAACTTCCAAAATCATGACTTCAAACATCCCATTATCCAACCATGCTCTCCCTTTCCCACTCATTTGTTTAAATGCCTCTGTGAAAGACTCAATTCACAGATCCTCCCAACTTGGCCTTCCCTCTCTGCATCTGCCTCCCCTGGCTCGATTTTTATTTTTGTAAATCCAGCTTAGATTCCATCATGACAAAAGCTCCTTTTCAAATAACCTCAAGTCCCTTGTCACTCTCTCTGAGCAACAGACAAACCGAACCATCTACCCTCAAGCCTGCACCCATACAGCTTAGTATTGCTAAAGAGAGAAAAGATACTAAAGCAAATCGGAGTCAAAACTCACTAATTATTCCCAACCTCAAATGGACCTTCACCACCTGGCCATCCTACTCTCCGGCAAGCTCTTCCTCACTCTATGAATGACTATCACACCTTGTCTACGTTCTCCAAATATGCTGCCCCCACTTGTTGGCTTTTCCTCTTATTTCATTAAAAAAATGAAGCTATCACAGAAGTCTGACATCTTCAAAACTTCTAACCCAAATGTATTTATATACAATCTTTCGCCCAATTATAATGGACAAAGAATCCTTTCTCCTTTTCTTTTTTCTCTATACTATCTCCTAAGGATTCCATACATCTCTCCACGGCTTTTAAAACTGAAAACTTCCAAGTTTCTGTTTCTGGGCCAAATCTCTCCTTGGAGTTCAAGATTTCCACACCTCAAGTTGCCTTCTGACATGTGCACTTGATGTCTCACAGGATTCTCAAACTGCACAAAACTTCCAAAACGAATTCTTGATTGCTGCTCTGACACCCGTGCCCCCTTCCCCACCTTCCCTATCTCAGTAAACATTACCACCAACTCCAGATGTTAAAGCCTAAAACCCAGAAACCATTCTCTCTCTCTTTTTTTTTTTTTTTTTTGAGATGCAGTCTTGCTCTGTTGCCCAGGCTGGAGTGCAGTGGCACAGTATCAGCTCACTGCAACCTCTACCTCCTGGGTTCAAGCAATTCTCCTGCTTCAGCCTCCCAAGTAGCTGGGATTACAGGTGCACGCCACCACGCCAGGGTAATTTTTTGTATTTTTAGTAGAGACGGAGTTTCACCATGTTGGTCAGGCTGGTCATGAACTCCTGACCTCAAGTGATCCACCCACCTTGGCCTCCCAAAGTGCTGGGACTACAGGCGTGAGCCACCGCACCCTGTCCCGGACGCCGTTCTTGATTCCTCCCTGTCCCTCGCCCGCCCCCAACATCCAGTCAGTCATCACATCCCTCCAAATGATGTCCTGAGTCGATTTCCTTCCATGTCCACTTCATCTACCCTAGTGCTGGTCATGACAACCTTTTGACTACACTTCTGCAATAATCCGAGTAGGGTCTCTCTGCCTCTCCTCTTCCCCTCTCCAATGTATTCTTCACACTACAGCAAGATTGAGCTTTTAAAAACAGAACTGACTATCCTAACATGACTGAAAAATGCCTAAGACTCTAGTGGAAAGGAAGGTTAAGGGACAGTATAGCAAGAAGGCAAGAAAGTTGGGCAAAGGACTAAAGAGAAGATCTGAAGCAAAATCAAAGACAAAGCTAAAAAGACCAAGGTATGCACTTTAACCTATTTGGAAGGTGGTTATGTTACATTGATACACTTAGAAACTAACGTATATCTGAGAAGCAAGGGCCCAGAATAACTGTCATGGCAGGAATCTGGACCTCTGCATGTGGGGAGCAAAACCTGATTCCATCTATGTAGCTAAGCAATAACGAAGTTCAAGTAAGACGCACCTCTCGTTCCCAGCTTTCTCTCCGCAGTTTCTTCCACTTTTCTCTCTTGGCAAAGTAATCAGGATACATTGCCTTCTCAGAAGGATGCCAGACATCCAAGCAGTTTTCCAGAACCTGTCAGGAGAGGAAATCATGGTATCAATCCACAGGACACATTTATGTATCACTGACAAGGCTTGCTCAGGAGACGTAAGACAAAGATCGAGGCACATTTTTATAACCACTCCAACTACCAGACTGTTTCTGACTCTAAGCAAGGAACAGCAGAGGATAAGCAGGAACCGAAGATAAAAGAAAATGCCTTAGAGTCAAAGACAGTGCTGAAAAATAGCACCATCGTCAGTCCAAGGAGAGATTCCTCTCCTACTTGCCTTCTCTAAATATGCAGGGTAGTCTTATCTTACTTGGGACTCTTAGTAAATCTCAGAAATATTAAGCACCAATCCAAGTTGGTTAACTTTAAAATGAACTTTGTTACAGCAAAAAGTATACTGTATGACCTTAAATTTGAATGTAGAAAGAAAAGTCTTAATGACATCTCAGAGAGAGAAAACTTGACACCTAAAATCCAGTACAGGCACAGCTTACAGATACTATGGGTTTGGTTCCAGACTACTGCAATATAGCAAATATCACAATAAGGCAAGTCAGATTGTTTCAGTTTCCCAGTGCATACAAAAATTATATTTATACCATACTATAGTCTATTAAGTGTCCAATAGCATTATGATGTCTATTGAGATGGAGTCCTTAGTAGACTATAGTATAGTGGAGATTTTGTGAACATTGATGAAATGACGAAAAGGACTTTGAATAGTTCAACTTAGTTGATTAAGCAGCAGCAGGGTTTGAGAGGATTGACTCCAATTTTTAAAGAAGTTTTTCTGTGAGTAAAATGCTATCAAATGGTATCACATACTATAGAAATATTTCGTGAAAGGAAGAGTCAATTGATGTGGCAAACCTCACATAATATACATTAAAAATGTACAAAATGGGGCCGGGTGCGGTGGCTCACGCCTGTAATCCCAGCACTTTGGAAGGCTGAGGTGGGTGGATCACGAGGTCAGGAGATCGAGACCATCCTGGCCAACATGGTGAAACCCCGTCTCTACTAAAATAAAAAAAAAATTTAAAAAAATGTACAAAATGTACAAAATTTTAAAATATATCATGGGTTGGGTGAGGTGGCTCCCACCTTTCGTCTCAGCCCTTCGAAGGCCGAGGTAGGGAGATTCTATGAGGGGGGGCGGTTTGAGACCAGCCTGGACAACAAAGCAAGGCTCATCTCTACAAAAAAATAAAACAAATTAGCTAGATGTGGTGGTGTGCACCTGTATTCCTAGCTACTTGGTTGGCTAGGACAGGAGGACTGCTTCAGCCCAGGGGGTCCAGGCTATAGTGAGCTATGATCATGGCATTCACTCCACCCTGGGCAACAGAGGGAGACCCTATCTCCAAAACAAAAACAAAACAAATACGTTATTGATTAAAAACTGCCAACAATCTTCTGAGCCTTCAGCAAATCAATCTTTTTACTGGTGGAGAGTATTGTACCAATGTTGATGGCTGCTGACTAATCAGGCTGATGGTTGCTAACGGTTGGAGTGGCTTTGGCAATTTCCTAAAATAACAATGAGGTTTGTCACATGAATTAACTCTTCCTTTCACCAAACATTGTTCTAGTATATGATGCCATTTGATAGCATTTTACCCACAGAAGAACTTTTTGCAAAACCGGAGTCAATCCTCTCAAACCCTGCTGCTGCTTAATCAACTAAGTTGAACTATTCAAAGTCCTTTTTATCATTTCATCAATGTTCACAAAATCTTCACCAGGAGATTCCATCTCAAGAAATCACTTTCTTTATTCATCCCTAAGCAGGAACTCTGGCCAGGTGTAGTGGCTCACAGCTGTAATCCCAGCACTTTGGGAGGCTGAAGCAGGTGGATCACAAGGTCCAGAGATCGAGACCACCCTGGCCAACATGGTAAAATCCCATGCCTACTAAATATACAGAAATTAGCTGGGCATGGTGGCACATGCCTGTAGTCTCAGTTACTAGGGAGGCTGAGGCAGGAGAATCGTTTGAACCCAGGAGGCAGAGGTTACAGTAAGCCAAGATTATGCTACTGCACTTCAGCCTGGCGATAGAGTGAGACTCCATCTCAAAAAAAGAAAAAAAAAAAAAAAGCAATTCTTCAAACTCCTCATCTGTTCAAGATTTATCATGAGATTGCAGCAATTCAGTCACATATTTGGGATCAACTTCTATTCTGGCTCTCTTGCTATTTCCATAGCATCTGCAGTTACTTCCTCCACTGAGGTCTTGAGCCCTTCAAAGTCATGCACAAGGGTTGGAATTAACTTCTTCCAACCCCGTTAAAGCTGATATTTTGATCTCCTCCCATGAATCATAAATATCCTTAGTGGCATTTAGAATGGTGAATTCTCTCCGGAAAATTTTACTTTGCCCAGATCCATCAAAGGAATCACTATCTATGGCAACTATAACTTTGAAATCACTCCTTGATCTTGAGCCCTTCAAAGTCATGCACAAGGGTTGGAATCAACTTCTTCCAACCTCCGTTAAAACTGATATTTTGATCTCCTCCCATTAATCATAAATATCCTTAGTGGCATTTAGAATGGTGAATTCTTTCCAGAAAATTTTACTTTGCCCAGATTCATCAGAGGAATCGCTATTTATGGCAACTATAACTTTACAAAATATATTTCTTAAATAGTAAGACTTTCAAGTTGAAATTACTCCTTGATCCATGGGATGCAGAATGAATGTTGTGGTAGCAGACATGGTAGCAGGTCTCAACAGTGGGCTTAAAATATTCAGTAAACCATGCTGTATACAGAGGTGCTGTAATTCAGGCTTTGTTATTCCATTTCTAGGGCACAGGCAGAGTAGGTTTAGCATAATTCTTAAGGGCTCTAGGATTTTCAGAATGGCAAATGAACAATGGCTTCAACTTAAATGCACCAGCTGCATGAGCCCCTAACAAGAGAGTCGGCCTGTCCTTGAACTTTTAAAGCCACACATTGTCTTCTAAGTATGAAAGTTCTAGATGGTATCTTTTTCCAATAAAAGGCTACTCATCTCCACTGAAAACCCGTTGTTGAGTATAGCCACCTTCATCAACTGTCTTAGCTAGATTTTGTGCAATACGTTGCTACAGCTTTTCCACCAGCACTTGCTGCTTCAGCTTGCACATCTGTGTTATAGAGATGGCTTCTTTCCTTAAACCTCATGGACTAATCTCTACTAGCTTCCAACTTTTTTTCCGCAGCTTCCTCATCTCTCTCAGCCTTCATAGATATGAAGAGTTAAAGACTTGCTCTGGATTAGGCTTTGGCTTAAGAGAATGTTGTGGCTGATCTTTTGTCCCAACCACTAAAACTTTCTCCATATCAGCAATAAGACTGTTTCATTTATCATTTGTGTGTTCACTGGAGTAGCACTTTTAATTTCCTTTGCATTCACAACTTGGCTAACTAGCGCAAGAGGCCTAGCTTTCTGCCTACCTTGGCTTTCAACATGCCTTCCTCACTAAGCTTATCCATTTCTAGCTTTTGATTTAAAGTAAGAGATGCGCAACAGATTTAAAGTGAGAGACATGTAACTCTTCCTTTCACTTCAACACTTAGAGGCTACGGCATGGTGGTTAATTATCCTAATTTCAGTGTTGCTGTGTCTTAGGGAATAGGAAGCCCTGAGGAGAGGGATAGAGGCAGAGGAACTATTGGTTAATTAAACAGTCAGCACACACACAACATTTATCGATGAAGTCTGCTGTCTTATACGGACATGGTTTATGATGCTGCAAAACAATTACAATAATAACATCAAAGGTGACTGATGACAGTTCACCACAACAGATTCAGTAATAATAAGTCTGAAATACTCCAAGAATTGCCAAACTGGGAAACAGGGACATGAAGTGAGCACATGCTGTTGGAAAAATGGGAGCCCACAGACTTGCTCAGCATGGGGTTGCCACAAACCTTCAACCTGTAAAAATATAATATCTGCAAAGCACAATAAAACAAAATGGAATAAAATGAGGTAGGCCTGTATCTGACAACTGTCAGGAAAGAAGTCTCCCAGCTACCCCTCAAAGGGCAAGTGATTTAATAAGGCTGAGGTCTGGGACTGGAGAAACAAAGTCTGATCTCTCAGAAGGCAGCCATCATAACTGTCACCTACCTTGTAACCCTCGTATCTCTCATATGAGGTACCCCCAGGAGAGTCAGGGAAGATGTATGGCTGTGGATGCTGACGGTACCAGAATTCTTCCTCAGCCTCCTTCAGCAGCAGGGTGGCCTTCATCATATCCTTTTCATTCTTATGTTCTTCAAACCGGGCTCTCATCAAACAAGCGAAGTATCGGTACTTGTCCCTTAAACCAAAATGATTTTGAGGATTAGAAATGTCACCTACTGACATGGTCAGTGTTGCTATCTGACAGGAGGCTGCACTCCTGATACCTTCTGGATGAACAGTGAACCTCCCCCAACTCTGCCAATGGAGCAGCTGTTTCAAGTCCACCAAACAGCAGCAGCAAAAAAACACTGTATTAAATATATAGCCTAACCGTTTTCCCCCCTTACATCCAATGATGGAAAGAGGATTTAAACAAACAAAAAAGAATTCGCAAAACAGAAAAGCTACATAACCTCTGTAGGATCATTCAGTATTCATCGAATGACAACTTCGTCCATTTCCTTCTATCTTGTGCTAGTCACTATGCCAAATTCTGGAGACAGTAAGATGAACAAGAAAGGTGTTACCTGGCAGACACTGTATTGCTTGGCTCATACAGAGCTGAGTTTGTATCCTGACTCTGACACTGGCTGCATAACCTTAGGCAAGATAAGGTCAAGTTCTAAAGAAAGTGGGCAAAGATCAGTTAGGAGGTTTTGACAATAATCTAGGACAAAGATGACAATGGCCTGAAAGCAGGGAGCTGTGATGGTGACAGGAGACAGGAGAGACACTGAGACACATTTAGACTTCCAAGTTATGAGAACAGGCTCTCCAATCAGACTGTATGGAGAGCTCTGCCACTGCTACCTGTGTAATCTGGGGTAAGTTAATGTCTTCTGGCCAGGCGTAGTGGCTCACACCTATAATCCCAGCAACTTTAGGAGGCCCAAGTGGGTGGATCACCTGAGGTCAGGAGTTTGAGACCAGCCTGGCCAACATGGTGAAACACTATCTCTACTAAAAATACAAAAATTAGCCAGGCGTGGTGGTGGGCGCCTGTAATCCCAGCTACTCAGGAGGCTGAGGCAGGAGAATTGCTTGAACCTGGGAGGCAGAGGTTGCAGTGAGCCAAGATTGCGCCATTGCACTCCAGCCAGGCAACAAGAGTGAAAAATATATATATATACACACATACAAAAATTAGCTGGGTGTGGTGGTGCATGCCAGTAATCCCAGCTACTGGGGAGGCTGAGGCAGGACAATCGCTTATACCCAGGAGGTGGAGGTTGCAGTGAGCTGAGATCACACCATTGCATTCCAGCTGGGCAACAAGAGTAAAACTTCGTCTCAAAAAAAAAAAAAAAGAAAAAAGAAAAAAAAAGTCTTCTAGACCACAGGCTCCTCCTCTATAAAACAGTGATAGTAACAAGATGTATATCTTAAGGTTGTCATAAAGATTCAATAAGATAAACACATAAACACACTTCAAAAAGTGCCTGGCACATCCCAAGTGCTCAATAATGTTAGTTACTAATATCATACTGGAAAGAGAATTTGCCAAAACCAGCGTCCAGTTATATATGGTGTATGGGTATGTGTGTTATTGGCAAAGGAGTAGGGAGTAAATACTTGAGAACAATTCCAATAATTAAAGCTGGATAGGCTGGGTGCAGTGGCTCACGCCTGTAATCCCAGCACTTTGGGAGGCCAAGGCAAGCGGATCATGAGATCAAGAGGTTGAGGCCATCCTGGCCAACATGATGAAACCCCATCTCTATACTAAAAACACAAAAATTAGCTGGGCCTGGTGGCGTACACCTGTAGTCCCAGCTACTTGGGAGGCTGAGGCAGGAGAATTGCTTGAACCTGGGAGGCAGAGGTTGCAGTGAGCCGAGATCACACCACTGCACTCCAGCCTGGCGCCTGGCGACAAAGCAAGACTCTGTCTCAAAAAAAAAAAAAAGCTGGATAACTATATTACGAATGATACCATTAGCAGAGGCAGGGAATTTAGGAAAACAGAATGGGGAGTGATAAGAAAACAAGTCTGATATCAAAGAATTTAGCTAAATTGAGTTTCAGAGAACAGTTGGTGATCTTTTAAAATTTTTATTATTATTATTTTTTGAGACAGAGTTTCACTCTTGTTGCCCAGGCTGGAGTACAATGATGTGATATTGGCTCACTGCAACCTTCACCTCCCAGGTTCAAGCAATTCTTCTGCCTCTGCCTCCTGAGTAGCGGGGATTACAGGCACCCGCCACCACGCCTGGCTAACTTTTGTATTTTTAGTACAGACAAGGTTTCACTATGTTGGCCAGGGTGATCTCAAACTCCTGACTTCAGGTGATCCAACCACCTCGGCCTCCTAAAGTGCTGGGATTACAGGTGTGAGCCACTGTGCCCGGCCAACAGTCTATGATCTAACAAACAATTCAAACTATAGCACTAGACACAAATGAGCCCAGGTGGTGACTCAAGTCCCAGCACTTAATGAGGCTGCCCAGAGTACATACAGCAATACAGTAAGCCTAAGATGAAACCACAGAGAACAGCACTATGAGGAAGAAATTAAGGTAAGGATTGAGAAAGAATGTCAGATCTAAAAAATGTTGAGCCATAGCTGTCATAGTAGCTAGTTTATATCATTTTCCTCTAGGACTATGGACTTTAGTATTCCCAGCTGTAGTTCAGTACTGCTTGAATTCTTTTTTTCATGTTCAACTTTTTTTGGCACATAATAATTGTACCTATTTATGGGGTACATGTGATATTTTAATACATATATAATGTATAATGATCAAATCAGGGTAATTAGGATATTCATCACTTTAAACATTTATTATTTGGGTTGGGATACCTGAATCCTTGATGGCTCAACTTCCTCCATCATCGAGTACTTTACATGTCCATTGATTAGTTTACATTTCCCCTACTAATCCATGACCTGCTGCAGCTCAAAAATGGATTTACTAACACTTATATATTTAGCATAGAGCATAGAATCTGAATTGCAAATTCTGTCAATAAATAAGGAAAACTCAAGGAAGAAACTAACAATCCCACCACACTGTACTTGGCCACCTTCCTGCCAAATCAAGATAAGCATGTCTGTGATTTTCTAATAGTCATATACATGTAATCTGGGCTTCGAGGATACTCTCTGCAATTCTTCCAGGCCTACTCCATTTTTCACACTTTAGAGATTTTTCCCAGAAGCCCTTCCTATGAAACTAGGTTTGGGGAGCCGTAAGAGTAGAGTGAAGGCCTAGCATTCACACATCTTGGGTTGACAGCCCACCATGCATTGAATTTCGGTTATCAAAATCCACACATTTTAACACTGTGTTCTAAGACTAGTCTCGGATGGACAGAGGAGGAAGGAGAATTATGTAAGAGGTGAAAAAAGATGTAAAGATAATGAAAAGGACTAGATGAAGCTAAAAAGAGAAAAGCTAATGGGGGGGGGTGGGAGAATGATGATGCTTTGGAGTCAGATCTAAATTTTAACCCTGGCTCAGACACTCACAAACTCTTATCACCTTGCACAAGTTACTAGCTGTGCTTATACCCTCATCTGTAAAATAAGCTTAAGATAATTCCTAACTCCTAGAGTTTTGCAGACTAAAGAAAATAATGCATATTTTATGACTGTTAATATTAGAAAGGAGAAGATCGTGAAGAAGGCAATTAATGAGTGCTGGACCCGTGACAATTACAGTTTTAGGCACATTCCTTCATTTCACTTAATGTTCCTGCGATCCTCTGCGCTGATCCTACGTCCGTTTTACTCATACTGAGGCCCAGACCGGATAACCAACTCTACAAGGTCTCGCGGCTACGAATGGCGAAGCCTAGATTCAAACCCGGGTCTACGAGAGGATTCTCTGGGGCTAGAGGCCGCCTTCCAATTCCGTTTCGAAGCCCTTGAACCTCCCGGTACCTGGGGGGCCTCTCCACTTCCATGGGACCCCACCCAAGGTCACCTCCCCTGAGCCCTGGGTCCCCATCCCTCACCTGTGGACACACCACGACTCGAGGTGGCGCAGCGCCCGCTTATAAAGCCGCAACACCTTCTGCTGATGGGTCAGGTAGGCCACTGGCGCGGAGAACGCCGCAGGCACGGAGAACGCCATGGCTTCGCCGACCTTCAGCGGCCGCGGAGGTAGCCGGGAAACCGGATACCTGCGGCTGGTGACGGAACGGTGCCGGCCGGAAGGGCGGAGCTGCAGACGGTCACTTCCGCTTTCGCCGGCTGGGTGCCCCGGACGCAGTCATGAGTCGCTTCAAGTTTATCGGTAAGCGGCGCGTTTTCCCCGTCCTTGTGTCCTTCTGACTGGTCCCTGGTGTCGGTCATCAAGGTCACAGGGCCCAGGACTTGCGCCCTCCTGCTTTGTAAGGGTTGAAAGGGCCGCTCAAAGGAAGAGGGTGCGGGGAGGTTTCTGGGTGCTGGTAATGTTCCGATTCTTGATCTAGGTCCTGTATTTATTTGTGAAAAATGACCGTACAGTTATGAATTTTTGTGCTCTTTTCAACGTGTGTGATGTATTCGATTTTTTAAAAAGAGAGAAAACTCCAAAAATGCAATCATGTTCCCATTCAGCCCACTTGCCCCTCCATGTCCTTCCGCTCTGCCTTGGCAGAGAGGATGACCGCTTCTAGCACCAATTCACTCTACTATTCATTCATTCATATCAGTTACCGAGCGCCTCAAGTGGGCCTGGGACTGGCCTAGGAACACACGGCACAAAGCTCTCAGTTCTACTGGCATCACATCTGGTGGAGAAACTAGAGAACACAAGTAGGGGGTGAAAAACAAATTCTGTTACTTGGCAAGTACAATGATCCAGTCAGCATCAGTAGAACAAGAGGGAGAATGCTGCAGGGATTTAAATGGAAATGATCCTCGTCTTTGTGGGGTTTCCAGTTACTTGAAGATGGGAAGTGACAATGATCACATCTCTGCTTTAGCAAGGTAATCCTGATAGCTTAATTATGTAGGTTTGGTGGAAAATAGGGAGAGGTAAGGAAGCATTTCAAGAAACTAAACTGTGGTAATGGAAAAGAGAAGAAATGTGTGCAGCATTTAGCAGCTGAGTGTTGACAGCAGGTAGTAGAGAGTGAACTGTGACTCAGGGTTTGGAAAAAATACTTAAATATGAAATGGAAGCATGATTAGTTTGGCGGTGAGGAGAGGTACCCAGGTCCATTTTGATTTGGTTAAGTTTGGGATAATCATAGGACATTCAGGGAGAGATATCTGGGCAATTGGAAATGTGGTCTGGTAATCATAAGAGAGATTAGGATTACAAATTTAGATCTGAAAGTTATTTTAAGCAGTATTTTTTTTTTCCAAAGACGTTGTGCTAAATACTGTGGAACTGTAAAATCTGGTGGTGCAGTTTTCAGACTGGAGATGTAAGACCTCTGTACCATACAGTCAAAAGCAAATGCAGGGGAGAATGTGTTAAGTGCCAGGGAAAAGGTTTTGAAATTGCTGCGGGAAAGCCGAGGGTAGGGGTTTAGGAAGGGGTCCTCAAATAAGACATTGTACTGTCTTAGCCTTTCCATCCTAATCGTTGGTATAATTGATGAGGGAGATGGAATAAAGAGCCATGAAGTATTGCACAAAGAAAGGCCACATACGTTTTTTAAAGTGTGTTTATGCTATACAACCAAATCCCTGCCTCAAGTTAATGTCTTAAATCCATCCTCCATGTAGACTCCATTTTGGTGTATCTAAAATACAAATCAGCTAAATGTTTCTTTTGCTTCACATCTTTCATTTACTATCTTCAGGACAGTCTAAGTGCTTTAACACCACACAAAGCCCTTCTGTTGTCCAGTCCTGCCCACTTCTCTAGCCTCATCCCTGGGCTGCTCTATCAACACTTGTGCATGCTGTTTATTATTTCTGACGAGGTTTTAGAGTGGCAGTTTGGGGCCAAAATACTCCCTCTGTTTCTGTCTGCCTACTTATTTCTTAAATCGTTATAACTCTACTCTTTACCACATTATTTATAATTAAATATTTATGTATCTGTCTTTCCCACTAGACCAAACTCTTAAGGCAGATCTGGTATTTATATTTTTTTTCTTAGAGGCTTAGTACAATGACTGTTTGGGGAAGTGTGAATGAATGGCTTTAGTGCTTTGGTGATAAGAAAATTAGGAAAGGGATTAGCATCCGATAAAATAAGCAAGAAAAGGCTTCTTAAAGAAGGTGACTTTATTGGAATAAATAATTGGAATAAATTTTTTTCCGCATGGCCTCCTGTAGCCTAAAGTAACCATGTTAAAAGTTTAAAGTAGGCCGGGCACGGCGGCTCAAGCCTGTAATCCCAGCACTTTGGGAGGCCGAGGCAGGTGGATCACGAGGTCAAGAGATCGAGACCATCCTGGTCAACATGGTGAAAACCCGTCTCTACTAAAAACACAAAAAATTAGCTGGGCATGGTGGTGCGTGCCTGTAATCCCAGCTACTCAGGAGGCTGAGGCAGGAGAATTGCCTGAACCCAGGAGGCGGAGGTTGCGGTGAGCCGAGATCGCGGCATTGCACTCCAGCCTGGGTAACATGAGTGAAACTCCGTCTCAAAAAAAAAAAAAGTTTAAAGTATATATTTCCCTACTTTTTTAATAGATTCATAAAAATACAACGTATCAAGGGTTTTTTTTTCATTTTTAAAATAGAAATGAGATCATTTTATGCATTCTGTCCTTGGTATATGACTTATTTAATCTTTCAGTCGATGTCATTTAAAAAATTCTGCCCATGAATCACTATACTAATTTCTTAACCTAATAATGAGTTCCGAACAATACTTTGAAAAACACTGTATTAAACCCATGGAAGATTGGTCCACGAACAAGCTTCACATGGGACAATTGCATGAAAAATTAAACCAGTATTGTAAAAGTAACCTCAGATTTTGGTTTAGGACAGCTGGCCATTGTAATCTTTTTTTTTTCCCACTAGTTTTTTTTTTCTAATATATATATATTTTATTATAATCTTTCTACATTTCTCTCTTTTCTGATTGCATAACAGGTGGCTGCCCTTTAGAACTATACCCAAACAGTGGGGGTTTTTGTTTGTTTTTGAGACAGGGTCTTGCCCTGTCACATAGGCTGGAGTGCAGTGGCTTATAGATCATGGCTCCAGCGTTGACCTCCTGGGCTCAAGTGATCTTCCTGTTTCAGCTTCCCAAGTAGCTGAGACTAGAGGTGCTGACCACCACAGCAAGCTAATCTTTCTTTTATAGAGGCAGTGTCTTGCTATGCTGCTCAGGCTGGTCTTGAATTGCTGGCCTTAAGCAGTCCTTCCACCTCTGCCTCTCAAAGTGCTGGGATTACACGTGGAGCCACCAGCCAGCATGAGAATTTTTTTAGCCAAACTTATACTCTCTTTTCTTCCTCCACAAGTGGAATTTTGTATGCTGTTCCCTGGGTGTTATTTGCAAACTCTTCCACTCTCAAAAATACTTCTACCTGCAACCTATTAT